AATTTAAAAGTGACCATCAATAAAAGTCAGATATCTAGTAAACTGACAAATTACAATAAATAATAACTAAAGTGTTAAATAATCACTAAAGAGCTTGAAACTTTACCCTAGAAATTTGACAATTTTCTTCAACTATGAGTAGTATTTTACCAGCAGTAACTGAGCCAGTCGGTCAGCCAATCTATCAACAAACATTCACTTACTGAGCATCTATGTTTTAACACCTGTGCCAAACTTCTTCTGAAAAAAACGATTTTGCTTTCACTAGATAGTATAGTCTGTTAAGAAAGACACATTAAGCCAATAACTACTTGTCTGATGAGCACCATAAGGTGTTCAATAGATAGCCTTGTCTCATTTAAAGATAAAGTAAAGTGGCTTAACATGGTACTTAAAATGTTTAAAATATAAATAATTTGAATGTCAGTGGAAGGCATGTAAAACAACTTGTAAACTTCTTTAAATGTTTAAATTCAGTTTAAATTTAATTTAATGTTATTTAAATTTAAACTTTAAATGTAGCTGTAGCTTTGTACAAGAAGCTATATTCATATTTCTACTCAAAAGAACAAACAATGGAAGAATATTCCAAATGTTCTCCATTCTTCAGTTTCAACAATTATTTGAAAATCTGGAGTCTTCATTAAAAAGTTTGCAAATATGTCCAGTTATCTTGCATTAGAATATAAATTCCATGGTGTTGAGGAAGAATATGGTCCCTGCTAACTTTAGCTGATGGTTTCACATGTGGACAGCATCATGTCCCATGACCAGTTAGTATAATATATCTGATTACATTCTCCCAAATATATCCTAAAGCCATGCTGCTAAACCAAACCTTACCTTTTTTTGAATAAATTAATTGTCATTTTCCTGAAAATGCAGGTAACTTTTGCCTTGCAGAGAGAGATTATGCTTCCAGATAAAAATTCACTTGTCAGACTTCATTACATCCTCCCTATTTCCCTGCTCTTCCAGCTTTTGTCTATAACAATTTTATTAATACTTGGTTGGCCCCCACCAACTCTGTATACCATTTAGGATTTAGCCATATAGGGGAGGGACAGAGCAGCTGGGAAGGCTGACGGCAGTGATGGGCACTCTAAGATTATCTGAGGGAGGAGGAGGACAAGGCAGCAATGACTGACAGTGCCCTGTGAGTGTTTCCCTGAACTCCGTCATTACAGCCCACTTCAGGATGCTCACCTGGTCATTGGAAAAGAGGTGAATAAGATGAGACTGAGAAAGTTTTGGGGCAGTCATTCTCAGGATCATAATGACAATACTATGGCTGAGTAGAAGTAAGCATTTGTTGGCCCCTGTACCTTCCTATTCTGCAGGGTTAAAGGTATCACATCCTTTAGAAAGAGAAACAACACAGTCAAAAGAGGTAGCAGCCATTCTTCTAATCTAGCGAAACCATTTGGAGATTAATTCTGCAAAGACTTTGCCCCTTACGTTTGAATTTTGTGTGTGTGTGTGTGTGTGTGCATGTGTGTGCACATACACACACATATTACTCAAACTCTGTAATGAACAGCTTATGGCCATATGTCACAGCCAATATGTAATAAACTAGGTAATAGTGTACTATTAAAAATAGAACTCTGAGGCGTGCATGATCACCTAGAATCACACTCACAGACACTGGGAAGGACATATATGACGGCATGACCAGTTGGAAGTGTGAGCAGTGCGGAGCCATCCTGAAACATTGCTCTCCCCATTCCCTGCCCCGTCCAACTCAAGCAGACTGTGCCCTCCAATCATGGGTGATGGAGATCCAGATGAGTTGATGGCAGGAATGGCATTTTGTTCATTTCTCATTTCTGCATTCCTAGTGTATAACTGCATAGCAGAGCACCAGTAGTATAATAAATTTTTATCCAAGTTGCACTGAATGAATAAACTAAATTCAGTGCCAGTTCTTTCACTAAATTACTGTGTGACCCTAGTTAAGCCACTTCATCTACAGCAGGAATGAAAACAATACCTGCCTCGAGTGGCTACTTTGGGTCAACCCACTTTGTATACTTCAAAAGCTCTGTGAATCAATGTGTTATAGGATTCAGGTTTTTCTCTATCTGGCTTCTTCTCAAATATCCCCAAATATTAACAGGTTGAGAGAAAAAAAGAGCCAAAATTTTCTTTCTCCTAGACATTCTTCTGTTTTATCATACTGTTTCTCTTAATGATTTTTGTTGATTTTTTACAAGGTAGGAGTCGCCTTTTATCACCTCGTTAATTTGGATGTTCTTGGAACGTTTTCTTTCTATTAGTAATTTCTTTTTTCACAACATTTAAAATCAAATCATTTTGTCTATTTATTTTAAGGAAAGAAGACACCAATATGATCAATCCCCTTAGTGCCACTTCCACTAAGTTGACACCTTTAGGACTTTTTACGTCACTCAACTTTCTCCACCTTCAACTCTTACTGATTTTATCACCAGGCAATACTAGAGCTTTGCTTTGGTTTTCTTCTGTTTTTGCCCTTGCTGTATGTCTCCTGCATTTTAAAAATGCCTGGGAACTATAAAACACATTTCTTAGTCATTCTGTCATTAAACATTTAGGTTGAACTTCATATTGGTAAGTTGATTACTCTTACTCATTATGCTTCTACTCCTTAAATTTCAGACTTTTTATTTCTTTTTGCTCAGAAGCCTTGCTGAAATATTTCCATCCAACATGGTGCATGATGGTATTTATCTGTCTGTGGCTATCAATAGCATTATTCTCCCATGTGGAAAAGCAGTAGAGTATTGGAGCTGAAATCTTGTCTTTGGAGCTGGGTTGCTGGGTTTTCAATTCTGGGCTTGCTTAGTGATTAGCAAGACGACTTCAGGAAAATTAAGTTAATGGTTACTAAGATTTTTCTCCTATTAAACGGGAGTAATAAGAGTACCTACTTCATGGAGTCGTTGTAATATTTACATAAGAGAGGGAGAGAGAAAGAGAGAGGAAGTGCGTGTGTGCGTGTGTGTGTTTAGTTCTATACAGAGAGAATGCTTAGAATAATTCCTGGCACTCGAGGTCTTATATAAGCATCAGCTTCACTTAACCTTGACTAGAATTTGATGGGTCCTTTCAATACATTTATAATCAAATCTTTCTTAAATCAGATAGTTTCTCCTATTTTATATCTCATCATTTTCTCGCATCCTTCTTTTCCCTGGACAAGTGTTTTGCTCTTGTTCTTCTTTTGAAATTTTTTCTGAATCATATCAGTAGTCTCCTTCATCTTTATATTTTCATATTTTTTTTCATGTATTTTCACTTTCGAATCGGAGGCTCAACGGTGTCCCTGCTCTAATTAGACTACTTTAAAAGTTTTCAAATGAAAAATAATACTTCTCTGCTCTGTGACTGAAGCAGCTTCAGTGTGCTGGTTTTTCTCCGTGGCCACCTGCCTTGCCTTCTGGGACAGCTGATTCTTCTCCCTCTCTCTCTGGCTGCTGGATCTGCTTAGGGGTGATGCTGTTTATTTTTTGTTACTCATTGTCTACCTATTGGCATCCCTTCAAAAGCTGTAATTCTAGGGTCACCCAGAAATCCTGTGTCTAAGGACCTACAGTGTGCCATCCAGGCAGCTGTAATTCTGGCCCTGGTCGAAACACCAGGAGTACACCTTTCTTCCCCTGATCTTTCCGGTTGCCAGGGCCTGGCACCCCTTTCCTAGTGCAGGAAGGACTCAGCCTGCTTTTTGAGGTCCTCTGCAGGGAGGACTCAGACACATGCCATCCAGCAGGCCCTGCCTTTCATCTCCCGGTGAGGGGGTCTGCAGGGTGTGTGGTTGTGGTCCTCACTCAGAGCTCTGGCCCATGGCCGCTTAGATGCAGAGGGGAAGTCACACCAGCTTCCCCAATACAATGCAAAGCACTTATTCGGCAAGCACAATTTATGACTTAGATCAGAGGTTTTAAGTTGAAAACCTAAGAAAATGGAAAGTAAAACATTCTTTTACATTTCTTGCTCATTTCTCCATTACTCACAGACCCAATACAGTGCCTCAGGTCAAATGCTTACTAATATTTATTTGTTCGATTAATGTGAAGGTAACTATTCAATTGTTTCCCATTGCCCTTAGGAAAGTTTCAAATGCTCTTATTTGCTTACAAGGCCCTAAATAACTTAGTGTCTACCCAGCTTTTCAGCCTACCACTTTTTTCTTTGTTCTTTTTCCATGACCATATTAGATTCATCTCAGGACATTGAATATGCATGTTCTTGTCTATCGTGGACACAACATTTGCTGTTTGCTCTGACTGGAAATCTTATTCCCAGGCTCTCCCCTCATCTCTCATCAGTATTTCTCCTGTCCTGCCCTATCTTTGATACCTGTCCTCATGTGTGCTGACCAACTTTTCCTCATTATTTTGCATCTCGCTTAAATATCACATTTTCAGAGAGTACTGACAACTCAGAAAAGAAAAACCCTTCATGTTATGCTCCCATAATACATAGTATCTCATACTTCTTTTATTATACTCATGAATATTTTAAATTGATTTTTTACTGTATCCTATTTAGATTGTTTCATAGAGGCAGGACCATGTTGAACTTTAAAACTATTATAATTCACAATACCTAGCACAACAGTACCTGACAGGTACTTACACATTCGCTGGTGAACAGGAAGGAAGGAAGGAGGGAGGGAGGGATTATAAAGAGAGGTACAATTTTGCTTTCAAAGAAAATAAAAATAGATCTCAAATTTATTTAAAGGTTTTAATCTTCATTATATGGTAGCATATGGTTGTTAAGCACATGGATTCTCAGTCAGGGTATGTGGTTTGAAATTTAGCTCTGCTATTTTAACTGTGGGCAAGTCACAGTGTTTTTGCAGGTTAATTTTCTTCTTTGGTGAAGTGCAGATAATAATTAGACTTCCCTCTAAGGTTTTGAGGAGGATTTGATGTGAAAAGACAAGCTCTTACCTCAGTACCTGGCATCTAGTAAACCCTCAAAACTATCAACTCTTATGATTACTCGTTTACCTGAGGATCGAAGAGAAAATAAGGACGTCCATTCTTCAACTGAAGTGCAAAATACTCTTCCTGACTGCCAGGTGATGCCGCAAAGACAATCAAACCTTCAGGCACTCTTGTTCGAAAGCTGGCCCTAATGCCTGGTGAGACAAATGCAATCAGGGAATCAGTGTTGGGTTTTGTTGATTCTTTCTGGTAAACGTACATTTACTTTCATTATTATTTATGAAATAGTGAGTACAGTCAGGAAATTAGACACAGCAATGTACTGGGATGGTACCAGCCATTTGGTTTTAAATATATCCCATTATGAATGACAACCTGTACTTGGTAACTCAAGCCCACACTCTCACTAATCAATATATAATGAAGTTTATATTTATGCAAAACTCATCAATATAAAAAGACATGCTGTCAACCCAAGATTGGATATGGAGAGTATCAATATGAAAATATCAGATTTATGAAAATAAATGGGTTTTTATATGAATAAAGAAAATGCAGGGGGCCTTATTTAAAATACATATGAAGTTTAAAGAGTCAGTTAAGTAATAGAAGCTAAAAACTGGAAAGAGCATCTACCAGGTGGCCCATGGAACTCATTTTCTGAAAACTGTCCTATAACCAAATGGTCTGCAGGCTTCAGAATTTCAGCCCCCCCCCTTCCCCCCGTCCCTTATTATCACCTACAGCTCTGCCCTGGACACATAATGCTCATCTTGTGGAAATTTCCCCAGCTCAGGAGACAAGCAGAGCTTGCAATGGTCCTATAAAGTGCTTTCTACCTTCCACCACATGCCCAACTCACCCCCATTCTTTCTAGTGTCCCACTCACTCAACCCACACTAGGGGCTCTTCCTGTGTGTCAGGCATCTTACTTAATGTATTGAAATTGGCAAATAATTTTAAGAGGCACAATCTCTGTTCTCAAAGAGTCTTCACCTTAGTTGGAAATATAAAACGTATCTGTCTTAACAGACAAATCATATACTAAGAATCAAATAAGAGCTCAAGAATGTCCATGAGGGTCAAATAAAAGCTCAAGAACACTGCACAGAAAAGTTAATGAATCCTGATTTGTATAGTAATACCGTCAACCGGAAGTATGAGACTTTGAATGGGAGAGAGAGCTCCCTTTAGGCTGGACTGGTAGCCGAAGGCCTTACCTAGGAGAAGCTATTGAATTGGGCTCAGTAAACTGCAACTGCTTCAGGAACCATGTCTGATTCATCTTCCCACCCCCGGCACATCACACAGTGTTCAGGTGTACTTAGTAAATATCTTGAGTCTGGATGAGGAGAAAGGAGGTGGCATGTGCGTTAGAGTTAAGCAGGGAAGTTTTAGCAGGGATGTGGAGGCAGGAAGGCAGAAGTCATTTTGTGAGCATCGGAGAGCCAGTTTTTAAATAGCCATCTATGGAACATTAACATTTGCTGCACCGAAAGAAGAAAAACCCACAAGCCAGTACCTGACATTAAGTTCTAGTTGGGGGAAAAGACAAGAGAACAAAAAACTGTAATGAGAGGTGGTAAGTGTTATGGAGATATTTACAAGACGTAATTAGATTCAAGAGGATTAAGGAAGGTGTCACAGAGAAGGTGATGCTTGGGGTTGTTTTCAGGGAAGATGAAGGACTGTGGGGGAAACTGGACAAGTGTCTCAGGGCACAGAGAGTACTAAGGAAAGCTAGATAGGAAGGACTGAGTTAAGAGACGATTCTGGAGAAATAGGCCAGACCACCTCTCAGCCCCCATCCTAGACACTATCTGGCTTGAGAAGTTAGAGTAGAGGACAAAGATGGAAAAGAAGGTTGTGTTTTAAGTGCCTTTAGAGCGAAAAACATTTAAACCAGCAAAGGCAAGCCCGCCTGGCATGTGGGCTTCTGACTTTCTAAAGAAGTGACACAAATTTTCCTGGCCTTCCTGGCCTGGACAGCTTCAGCTTCCGGGTTTTATGCTTTGCGCCCTTTTCAAACATACTTGTCCTACTCATTGTGAATTGGCTCAGACTCTGGGATTCTCTCCCTTCTCTCTGCTAGGACATTATGTTTCTGCTGTTAGAATCAGTACCTGGTCCACCCTGGCCCCTCTCTCACTTGGCAGACTAAGATTGTCCCAACAAATCACTTTCAGCACATGCAAACTCATTTGAACCTCTTACTAACTTATTACTTTCATCTCTCCTGCTAAGTGGAGGGAAAAGGTTGAGCTTTCAGACTGGAATTTATCCTATAGACTAAAGGCAGGTGTTAAAAAATGGGTGGAACTAGGGAATAGAATGATCAAAGTCAGCAAACAACCAAACTAATGCTGGAATTATGGAGGATACAGATAATTTGGCTACAGAAGAACCAGTTAGGATATCTATTGCTATGCTTTTGGGAAGAAGTTAAGGATTTTTATTAAGTACCAGCAAGTAACTCAATGGGTTGAAAGAATGGACTCTCTATATTTCAGATGAGACTCATTAGGACATGTTGATCTGAGGTGAGGAAGTGAGTTAATATGGCCAATTCTTTTTACCAATTATTTAGGGAAAAGTGGCATTAACACGAATAGGTTAGGTAAAGATGAAAATATGGGGTTGAGGATATAAGTTCAGTTTGGGGAACATCAAGTTTATATAAATGGTGTGAAAAATTGTCCATAATTTGGAAATGAGAAACTAAACCTCAGAAGAGATGAAGCAAGAAAAATAAATTGGCAATTTTGTACTGAGAATTCACATCTCTGAGAAACAGATTGGATAGAGAAAGGAAAAGAACATTGGGGGAAATGCCCCACATTTACAAAAAGGAAAGAATAGGGGCAGTAATTAAGTCAAAACTATCAGGATGATATGATAAGAGGGAAGCCTGTATAGGAGAGGACTTTAAGAAAGCAAAGTAGTTAACCATGTAACATTTCCTATAGATCTAGACTAATAAGAGCTAAAAAAAAGCTTAGGAAACTGGTAATTACTAATCATTAGACACAGTCTTTTTCAACTGAATGGAATGACCAAAGTCCAAACTCCTGGGTGATAAGGACTGAGGGATGGATGAATAGGTGGTGGGTTTAGAGTGCTCATTAGAAAAAAATTACAGAAAAAGAAATGGGAGGCCAAAGTTAATTATTACAATAGACCAGTCAGGTGAAAGAAGGACAGACATCTGTCATCAAAACCACAGACATAGCCAAGGCCTGATCAACGTTCTGACCAGAGAACAATTATATTTCTATCAACTCCTCTGTTCTTATGCTTCTCTCCTTTTGATTCAGAGTAGCTCCCTCCTTCAGAGATCTTACGTTTCTGTCACTATTTCTTGATTTTGTATGTGTTGTCCAATACTGTAATTAAAACTATTGCTTTAAAATCGACTGTTGAAGTTCATTTCCTAAAAATAGCTACAATTTGGGACATGAAGGTGGCAGAATTCTCTCCTAGTGTGCAGTAGGCACCTATGTGGCAGTAGGTAGGAAAATAACGGAAGGATTTGAGGGAAGAAATTAATAATTGCTCAAGTTAGGAATACAATTACTTGTCCCTAACTGAAAGGGAATTTGATGAATGAAATCGAATCAAAGAATTATTAGCCAAGTTATACTCTCAAATAAATCAACTAGCACTATACATTCTTTAAGGCATCTGCAAGTGCATGTGCTTCTCAGACACAGCACTTAATTTCCAAGTTTTATACTTACATAACAAAGAAATGCATTCTTACCACAACTACAATATAATACTTTACACTGATCAAGGAAAATGCCTTGTGAAAAGGGAGGATTTAGTGTAGGAAGGGTAATTTGGTCTGATGTGTGGTCAGCTTGCCCCCAGCTTTGTCAAATAATTCAATCTTGTCATTTTTCTCCTCACATTACAAAGATAAATAATGAGTCATTTTCTTTTGTTTGTATACTATGAAGAAATTAGAAAATGCACACCTCCATTGTAACATCGTGTTCTTGAAAATCAGTAAATTATTGTCGTACACACAGACAAATCCTATCTTTGAGCCAAATTACATAATTATATAAATT